GAATCGACAAGATATAACCACTCTCAATAGCCCAATAACAGCCAATGAAATACGAGATGTAATTAAAAACCTACTGGCAAAGAAAGTCCAGGTCTGGATGGATTCACAGCTGATTTCTACAAGACATTTGCAGAAGATGTAGTCCCTATACTCATTAAACTCTTCCATGAAATTGAAAAGGAAGCAGTCCTCCCAAAATCATTCCTGGAGGCAAGTATTATACTGATACCAAACCAGGGAAAGACACAGCTAAGAAAGAGAACTACAGGCCGATCTCCCTCATGAACATAGATGCCAAAATCCTCAATAAAATACTAGCAAATAGAATACAGCAAATCATCGGCCTATAGTTCCTTATTGCTTGTATTTGATTGTGAGTTTCCTTGTATTTAAGGTTTTTTTCTGGTTTCTTTTGTCATTTATTTTCAGTTTCATGGCAGAAATTCCTACTCGGCGGGCGGCATCAACCCATCCTTTCTTATCTCTCTACATGTCTGATAATTATGTTTTTATGAAAACTCAACTTTTAGGGTGCACCAAATCTGAAAATCAAATACTTTTGCCTCACCACGGCTTTTTTAGCTATTTGTAGGTTTAGTGGCTTTTCTAGGCTACTTCTTTAATCTGTGTATTGTTGATCATGTGTAACCACTGAAGTGTCAGCCCAATTTGCTTAGCTTCAAACTAATGATAGAATAAAGATTTTTCTTTAGTGCCTTGATCCAATATATCTTCTGCTCTTTGTCAAGGGATTCTGTACAAGAGTTGGGGCATTATAACCTACATCAGTTTACAACTCTGCCTTAGCTGCCACTTCATAGTTGGATAGAACCCAAGTTAGCCAGAAGTGGGAGATTAGGATCTCCAAGAGCGTGTCTTTCCTGGGTCTGCACTCAACCCTGCACATGTGTGTGACCTTCTGTGTCACCAGGAATCTGTAAAAAGAGTGAGAAATGTGGTCGTGGAAATTAAAACACAACCAGGTTCACCATTCTTAGCATAACTGAATCGTTTTTCTTAAATAAATGTCTTTTGGGTTGTACATTCTAGAATTCTTCAAAATAATTATTTTGGCATGTTTTGCCAGTGTCTGTATTACTGTAATAGAAGAGCATATTTTCAGGGATCCTTCATCATTCCAAAAGTGCTTCTCCCCTAGCTATTCCTTTAGCTTAATCTCATTTGCCCAAATCACATTTGTAAGTTCAAAGGAGACTCTGACAACATAAAATGATAAGCTAGGGGAAAATATCAATTTGGAGAGAGCTATATAGGGAAAACTATTTCTGCAATATATAGGGAAAAAATATTTGAGACGAAAAAGTACATGAAATATTTTTAAGTAAAACTTAATTTGAACTCAGAATGTATTAATTATATTCATAATTATTACATGTCTTTAAGGAACATTGTGAATGTGATAAAATATATAATTAAAAATTATTTCTATGACATTGATTAAAACTCATAAGCATCTAGTGTCCCTGAAATGGAGCAAGTTAAGTATCTAAATAAGCTAGATAAACTGTATAATATGTCACTACCCCATCCTATCAGTAGTATATGTACTTCTGTATTCCCCAAAAATATAAACTTTATTTTATGAACTAAAGTTGTAGTAAAAATTTCAGGAAGATACATTATTATATACATATGCTTTCTTTTCTTTCTTTTTTTTTTTTTTAAGGAACCGGGGATTGAACTAGGCCCTTGCATTTGCAAGGGAAGCGCTTATTCCACTGAGCCATCTCCCCGGCCCCTACATATGCATTTTTGCTATGTAAAAGTGCCCTAAATTGAAAGTTTTACATGGAACATATAAAGTATGGAATACTATTCAGCTATATAAAAATTATGAATGAGATCCTGTTACTTGCATGGTTGTGGAGGGAGCTGGAAGACTGTGTCAAGTGAAATAAGCCAATCACAGAAACACGAATGCGACAGTACCATGTATGGAACAGAGGTAAAAATCAATCTCATGGAAATGGAGAGTAGAACACTGAATACCAAGGCTTGGGGAGGCGGCGGTGGGGAGGTTGATCAGCAGGCGCCGAGTTACAGTGAGTCATGAGAAGTCCTGTGTGCTTTTCCACAGGAGCTTGGACCCTTGGAAGCAGAAAGAAATGATAAATATTTGAGAGATAGATTTACACTCATTAATCTGAATTAAATGTTACACATATACATGTATCCAGATATCACATAGTAGCCCATAAATACGTACACTTTTATGTGTTTATATTCCAGTTGAAAATCAATTTGAATTGAAAAAACTTTTTTCTATTTTTGCATACAGTAATAAGCTGTCACTGAGTTTCTAGGTTGTCATAATCTTGCATATAGGTATACCATGTCAACTGTGGCTTCCAGGTCTCTTCCAGTGATATGCTGAATGTCTGCGATTGCGGGTCATAGCAAGTCATCTTTCTGGCATCACTTCCCTCTTCTATTTCCCGTTCATCTAGTCAGGGTTCTCCCAAAGGACAGAACCCATGAGCTAGACTGTCTGTGTGGGAGGAGGGAGGCACAAGAAGAAGTTTATTAGAGGACTTGACTTATGCAATGATAGGACCAAAAAGACCAACCACAAGCTGAAAGCTACAGACTGGGATACCAGAAGCATAGCCCAGTCCCTGCCCAACAGACAAAGAGCCAGAAAAGCTGATAGCGTAGATCATCTCAAGGCTTTGTGTCCCTGAGGCCACTAGTATAAGTCCTAGAGTGCCAAGCCCAGAATTTCTGGAGTTCTGGTATCCCAAGGGCAGGAAGAAGGCAGAGCCCAAGCTCCAGGACAGGAAGAATGAGAGGCCAAGCGGGCTTGCTTCTCCTTTCATTCTGTCCAGGCTGATTGGCTGGTACCCTCCCATGTTCAGAGTAGATCTTCCCCTTTGCCCATTCAGATTTACATACCTGTCTCCTCTGGAAACAACCTCACAGACATACCCATAAATAATGTTTCACCACTTGTGTAGTATGTCTTAATCTAGTAAGGTTGACATCTAAGATTAGCCATTGTGTGCCAAGATGAATTGGAAAAGCAGAAGAACATTTTATGGAATAGGTCAAAGGATAAAGACCTGATATTCTTACTAGGTATAATCCTCCAGTGTGAGATAATGTAACAAATTTTGGCCTCTCTTGAAAGATGTGGTTATACTTTCTTACTTTACATACAAGGTCACTCATAGCTCTTGGTCAGTGCTTAATACTTGCCCAAGCTTCCAGTTAGTGCTGTTACATGAATGCAGTTCCTAGACTGATTTGATCCTAAGTGATTTATAAATAATACAAAACTCAAATTTCTTCATAGATCTGTTCTTTTGAATCACATGGCCAGAGAACATGCTTTCAACATCGGATTGCCAGACAACATTGTAAACTGCAATGAATTTCTGTGTACATTACAGAAGAAACTCGACAAGTAAGTGCTATTCTGTGACATGGCCTAGCCCTTGTTTAATCTTAGACTTTGTTGCACGTTTGTTAAAAAGTAATAGTCTAGAACAAATAAGTGTAAATTTCTTATTTCTTGTGCTATAGTTTGCATTTTCTATAACAATCTTCATTTTATCTAGATTATATTGCCTTTTACTGTTACATGTTTTAATTAGGATGTCATTTATACCAGTGTACATACATATAACATACAAAGCAGGATGTGAAAACTGGGCTCACCTTTTCACCTAAGAAACAGAAGAGTATTAATTCCTTTGTCTACCCCAGGTGCCTTTCTCTATTAGTCTCCCCAGAAATCACTGTTCTTAATTTTGGAATTGTAATTACTTGCTTCTCATGATAACCCTGCTACTTATTTAATAAGGTAAATATATTGTCAAATTACTGCATGTTTTTCAATGTTATGTGAAACATGAAGTTCTAGATGCATTCTTCCACCTTTTAACTTTCCATTCATGTTTATATCTAGCGTTCCCCTGTCAGATGAACATATGAATATTGTGACAAAATAAATGCTAGCAGCTATTATAACATTATTTTCATATGCCTCCTAGTTAAATAGTTTTAGTTATGGGGAATTCACTGCTTAATAAAGTAGTAAGTACCAGTGTTGAATATCTAGCCCTCAAGGTCAGATGCTGACAACCTTGATATTGCGAGCTCAGCCTATTCAGATAAGGAAGGAAATTCTCTTGAGTCACCAAAGTGGCTTTCAAAAGTGTGTGCACTATTGTTTCTAAGAAAGGGTTTAAGAGTTTCTTTAGAGTTCATTGAGGACCTGGTTGTCTTCATTTAAACATAAGAGCAGTGTAATATTTCAGCACACAGCATTAAGAGCAATAACATTAAAATGTAAGTAGTATCAAGTGATACTAATCAATAATTTAAAAAGCTAACTGAAATTTTTGTATCAGTATTATGTCAGAGTGAACTACTTTACTTTTTCATTAAATGACCCTACATTCATAAAATAAGACCAGGTGTGCTTTTTTTATTTGTTTGTTTGTTTGTTAGTTGGTACCAGGAATTCAACTCAGGACCTTGCACTTGCCAGGCAGACGTTGTGCTACTGAGCTATCTACCCGGTCCCAGCCGTGCTTTCTAACAAGATTAGCAGGAATGAATAGCAGTAATCAGCTTACTGATATTTGTTCACTATAAAAGAATATACTTATTTCTTTGTGTCAGAAATAAGAGAAAGGATATATATAGATTTCTTAAAAGAATTCAAAACTGAAACAGTAGCAGATTGCAGTCACTTGAGAGTTGTTATGTAAAAGAGGTTAGCCCTAACTCTTATGCCTCTAGATTACAGCCCAGATTAGATTTACTCTGTGTGACTCTCACTGGGGCTATAGGTCACACACAGTATCATCTGTCAGGTTTAGTTTAAGAGAAAGTCATTTTGTCAGTAATCTATTCAACATTGGTACTTACTACTTTATTAAGTAGTGAATTCCCCATAACTAAAACTATTTAACCAGGAGGCATATGAAAATATCATAATAGCTGCTAGCATTTATTTTGTCACAATATTCATATGTTCATCTATATGAATAAAATATCTAGCACACCTTATAGTGCATAATAAATGCTCAATGAATATATACATGAAATCATCATAATTCTCAAAAATGTGTTATGTTTACTTTAGAAATCAGAAAATGACAACAGAGAGGGTAAAGAACTTTCACACATTTCACAGCTAGTAGGTACTAAGCCCAGGAATAAAAACCTGTACTGAGCCCAGGAATGAAAACCGGCAAATCAGCTTACAGAATCTACTACACCGCCATACTTAACTTGGCAGAGGAGATGCCATGATCACGAAGGTGGTTTTCCTGGGGCCAGGCATGCCATTGCACTCCAGATATGCTGGCCCCTGTGATTTCCCCAAATGCGGACACGCAACTGCATAATCGAGTAGTGGGGGCTGCATTTGTTCTCTCCCCTGGGGGGGAGAAGAAGGAATCTACACCGTGTACTGATTGTTACGTGCAATCAAAGCACTTGATATTAGCCATCATTGTAGTTATTTGAAGAATATGCTCTCTGCATTTTTATTTCAGAACACGTAATTGTACTGGTAAAGCACTAAGATAATGTTTTGTTATTAGCTATCCTTGTCACAGTTTTAACTAACTCACCAATTTAGTCAACCACAGCCTAAACCATACCATGTATCCTGCAGGGTCACAGGAATAGAACAAGAGGGACGCAGGCAAGGACAGTGCATGCATCTGAATGTTGTGACCTAAAATGAGTGTGTACAAAACTCAGTAAAGGATTCTTGCAGCCATTACCCTAGAAGCTTGTTCAGTCTTGTCTGTGTATTTCTTTTAGTTTGCAGTGCCTGTACTGTGAGAAGACCTTCAGAGATAAAAACACACTTAAAGATCACATGAGAAAAAAACAGCATCGTAGAATCAATCCAAAGAATAAAGAATATGACCGATTTTATGTCATTAATTATTTGGTAAGCTTTCTTTTCATTAATTTAATTTGACTGCAGTCCTGCAGGCAGTCTTCCTAAAGACCAACTGGTGTGCAAATATGAAATTAGTACAAAAGTTAAAATGTAACTGAGGAGTACTTTCAAGGGGCAGTTACCCGTGGTTTACAAAGCATTTGATTTACAAAATGATTTGTTGTTTTGTTTTGTTTTGTTTTGTTTTTTTGCTCCAAATGCCTTCAGGGCAGGTTTGGCTAGCTTGAGTTGTGGGAATGAACCACAGCAATCTGAGCCTGATGGCTTTGTTGAAGCAGCCACTTAAAGAACTGAGCTACGGGACAGACCCTACAAAATGATTTATTGTTGATTCAAGTGTTCACATGGTAAAAACATATTGTCACTAGAATTCATGGTGATCACAGCCAAAAGGAAAACAAGTGCAACATTTGGATATCCTTTCCTAGAAACCTCAATACCATTTGTTGCCCTATATGGATTGCAGTCCCTTTGTAGCGAGAAATGGTATTCAGGTGGAGACAGGTGTCAGTTGGGGGACATTTAGCAACATCAAAGACTTTGGGTTGACTGGGGAGTGCAACAGGTCCTGCCCTCCATCCACTGACTTTTTAAGTCTATGTAACAGGAGGAGAATGACTCAAAGAAAGAGGTTGACTAATTCTTGAAAGGAAAAGAATGGGAAGAATGCTGAATTTTCATTTTTGACTGATATTCTCTTAAGCAAATAGAAATTGTTTATTTTCCCCTTAATATGAAGGAATTAAGATGGCTAATTGAATATAAGTAGCCATTTTATCTGTTGGAAAGCAACAAGCATATCCTGAATTATGTTGAAAATTTTCATTCTGGATGGAGTTTTTGTCTAATCCATATAATGTTAAACTGAAATTTGCCTTGAGAAATGAATCAAGCATATATTTGAAGATTGGCTCCAGAGGTTGCCATGGTTTGCTGCAAATGTTTTACAACCAGCTAAAGGCAGCACCACCCTCTGAGTCGCTCAGTCTTCTCTTGAAATCACTGCATTACTTCCCACAACAAATGCTGTTTTAGGGCTGAGTTCAGTCCCTAGGGAGCAGACCAGCATTAGCACCAGGAAATACTGGGCTTCTACAGCAAGCTATGCAGGCAATTTCCTGCTTCTCCCTCTGGGCTCTTTTATGCCAAGATTTGAGAGTATGGGCTTAGCAGAGCATTATATAGCTGGAGGAGTTTACTTTTTAGAGGAGACGTCAAAGAGTCTGCACACCCATACGCTGCTGGAACTTGGAGAAAAGTGTAACACTTCATTCCCAGGGAGTTGCCAACCAAAATCATTTTTAAGAGCCAGTTGTCCTTAGGGTACTGGATTATACTGGACACTCTGACTGGACTGGCTATGGTAATTAAAGAGTATAAAGGTTTTAATAGATGACAGCTTCCAGGTAACCTTGAAACATGCTTTTTTTTTCTTTTTGTAGCAGCTATTAGAGCACGTGCTGTGGGCCAGGTGCGAGCTATCTTAGGAATCACACTAAATCATTTACACTTTGTGTGTGTGTGTGTGTGTGTATGTGTGTGTAACCAGGGATTGAACTCAGGCCCTTGCGCTTGCCAGGGAAGTGCTTATTGCACTGAGCCATCTCCCCAACCCCAAATCACTTACTCTTATTCCCTGTAACAGATATTTTCCCAGGTTCACACAGGGCAAGTTATTTATCCTCTGTATCCATTTCTTTCATTTTTATAGTTGAGATAATGCTAGTGCCTACACTTTATGCTTTGGGTTGACTTTTTTAGTCAAGTAATGATCTATTCACCCTCCCTTGCTTGTTCTTTTTTGTAACTAAAAAGTGAGCCTACATCAAAATGAAGCTTACTTTAACCTGCATTTAAAGATTCTCACCCACAACCTTGGTCCTATGTGCTTCCTGCTGAGGAAAGCAGCTAACAACTCTAATATGGGCTGGGGCCACAGCCTACTAGGATGCCTTAGCATTGTGACAGTGGTAGTCCTTCGACAAGGACTAAAGAAGCCACAGGTCTTCTCCAATGCAATAGCACCCTAAACTAGAGGAGTGCATACCAGTGGTATAGCCTTAGTAACACTGAAGGACAATTTTAAAGAATACTGTTGTAGACCGTGTGGGGGGCACATGCGCACAGTCCCAGAACTCTGAGAGGCTGAGGCAGGAGGATCAAAAGTTTGAGCTTAGCCTGGGCAACTTAATGACTTAGCACGATTCTGTCTCAAAAACAAAAATTTTTCAAGGGCTGAGCATATAGCTCAGTGAAAAAAAAAGTATGATGATAAAATGTATAGCTAGAAGATTTTGAAATAGCAGTGATGTGTAATGAAAGATGAAGGCCAACATTTTCTCCGCATCATTTTAGTTTTACCCCATTATCAAAGAATATTTACTATGAAGAATGAAATCATTACTAGAATAAATTCCTCTAAAATTTTACTTAAGCAGGCTAGGGAGATAGCTCAGTGGTGTAAGCACCTGCCTGGCCAGTGCCAGGACCCAGCTTCAATCCCCAGTGCAGTATGCCATGCCTGCCCCAGAGCCCTGGGTGTGCCGTGCCAGCCACCAAAACTGGGCATGGTGGCACACACCTGTAATCTCAGTGCAGGGGAGGCTGAGACCAGAGGATCACTACAAGTCCGAGCTGCATAGCAAAACCCTGTATCCAAAGAATAAATGTTAAAATAAAAAAACCCTACAAAATACATAAATAAATGTAATTTTAGTTAAGCAATGAATAATGATAATGGAAGGTTTATTATTTAAAAATTTCAGAGGATCATAGTATCAATAATTACTACAAAGAGAACAATATGCAATGTATTAATTGCTACAACTGTGTTACCAACCTGTTTTGAAACTGTTTCAATGCTGTTTCTTTCTCTATAAAATTAATATAAAAAATCAGTGAAAAGTATCATGTCTACATCTTGTCCTCTGAATTATTAGTATAGAGACAAAAATACAATGTGTTAATTATTGTAACTGTCCTACTAACCCGTTTTGAAACTGTTTCATTAATATTTTATTTTTTTTCTCATTAAACTGAATAAAAATTTAAGAAATGAAAAAAAAAAATTTTCAGAGGAGAAGGACTGTCGGGGTGCTTCATCTGAGGGAAGAGCCTGAGGCTTGTGCATGAATGCTGGGAAGACAGAGCTATGTGTGTAGTCTGTGTTGGTACGTCCACTTCACTGACTCTGCATTCTGCATACGTTTGCATGCCTTCTGGGCAGATGCAAAACAAAAGAAAAATACTGCAGATTCTGTACCAGATTTGATCACTGTCTAAGAGTTCAGAGGTCGGTATGCAAGAGAGATGTGGACACCTGACTGTGCACACAGCCAGTAGGTGACCTCTCGTACAGCATCTGCACACAGTGGTTGAGTCACCCAGGCAGAGAATCCCTCAGCCCACTCCAGGATGGGAGCCCCCAGGATGTGCTGGCCAGGTGCAGTGCAGTCATGCAAGTCAGAGCCAGGGCACAGTGGCTGCAGCTGCTCCCTGTCAGCACAGCAAGTTGACAGGTTCCTTTTTTCTTGTTCAGTAAGGTAATTTCCATGTCTAGGAATTCCTATCAGTTTCTCCACACAGACTTGCAAATACAGTTAAAGTGCTTTCTGTAGTCTGGATTGTCTGCTTCAGGCTCTTGCTTTGTTTTCAGCAAACACAAAAGGGTTCAGTGGGGGTGGTCTGGGCCAGGTGTTAGTCGATACCCTGCCTCCTGCTTAGCATCACAGGGGCTTCCACTGCACGTTCTGAAGATGCTTACGTTTTGAGCCCTGAGGTTTTTCTATATGGAATTATTTTTGCCATGTCTTTAGCATTTGACTTAATGTTTTTGCTCTTAACGTGTATAAAACCACTTACAAAAATGTAGACTATCATAGTTTTTAAATAATACACTCAAATTTGTTTGCATTTAAAATGCTTCTCTGCTTGCATTTCCAATAGGTCTATTGTGTGAGCTCATATAAATGTTTATCAGAGTAGAGGGTTCTGGGTGAAGGGATCTTTCGTTTTCCCGTGTTTTTTTCCACCCGCTCATTGCTCATAAACCATCTGATGCAGGGGTTTGAGGGGGTGTTTAGAACATCTTTACTGACATGCCTTCCAAACTTTGTTTTTCTTGCATTCTTTGCTTTCCTGACATGATTCATTAGTACCAGAGCATCTTAATTAGAAAGTTATATGCTTTGGTTTTAAATTTTGGGCATTTTTTTTTCTCTGTGGGCCCTGTTCCTGTAATAAATCATATTTAACAGTACAAAGCAGAGCACTTTCAGAAAGTAAAGCCCACTGTCACATGCAAATTGTTTATTTCCTAATGTACTAATAAATGCAGAACTCCATATTCCTCTGAAGTTTGATAATTCATTAAATATATTTTACCTAAATATATTTCTATCATCCTTTTGTTTTTTGTTTTGGTACTGGGGATTGAACTCAGGACCTTGAGCTTGCCAAGCAGGCACTTATGCCACTGAGCTATCTCCCCAGTCCCCTAAATATATTTCTACATATTATACTGAACACTGAGGAAGTTACAAAATTATGGTTTCAGTTTAGGAGTTTGATAGTGAAAAATTTTTATTGTTCCTTTTGGCTCAAAACATTTGTTGACAAGCATCATTTGCCTACATCATTCTGAATGATAAGACCATAGGTGATCCAGCCTTGTGTCATATATCGTAGCAATAAAAGCATGACCGTAATTCTTAGTCCAGAGAGATCAAGTAAGGCGTGGGAGATGTAAGTCATTGCCAAAAACTCTCACAGATACTGTCAACAATGTGAAGCCATTCTTGATGTTCCATACTGAGGTTGAGACACTTGGTGACAACTCTGGGAAGTACATTCAAGAGCTTAAGTTAAGTCTCTCTAATCACATTATGGTGGATGTCTGGCTGAGTTCATGTCACTTAGCTGATAGATAATGACGGCTTCAACACCTCTCATTAAGTTCATGAATGATAGATTTTCTTTCTCCCTCTGAATCATAATGACACTCATAGTTCTTTGTTTTTAGCTGAGTTAATTGAGAATTATGTCCATCATGGACCAAATTTGGCTCTGTCTTTCTAAAAGAAAAATGTTAAATAATAAAGATGGCTGTGCTCCTAGCAGGGTGGGCTGGCTTGACCCCACCACCGCTTGAAAGGCTAACCATTAATGTTCCTGGATTTCTCTGTGTCTGCTGTCTGCTTATGTGTAGCATCTTTGGAAGACTGGATAGAGAGATATGATAGGACAAAAGAAGATGAAAAAACTGCTTAAAAGAGGAGTGGTTGGCCAGAAGAACTCTTTCTTCTTCATCGGACCATAGCCTTTGCTGAAATTTTGACTGGTTTCCAGAAGTAGTCCAAAAAACTGTAAGGGATAAAAGAGATTTTCAAAGATGTTCAAGCCAGGTGTGGTGGCATACCCCGGTAATCCCAGCACTGAGGCTGAGGCAGGAAGATAGCCAAGAGTTCAAGGCCAGCCTGGGCTACATAGTGAATTGAAGGTCAGTCTAACTACATAGTGAGACCCTGTCTGAAAAACAATAAAAATAAAAAAAGATATTTGAGTACTGCTTATTCCCAGTAGTGCATTCTTTACTGAAATTGTTTGATTGCCTTTTAACTCCTTTGAACTCAGACCTAAACTGACCTTAAGTAACTTGATTTTTTTTTTTTAATTATCATTTAACTCAAAAAAGTATGTTCTGCTTTCTACTATGTGCCAAACTCCGAAAATATAAACATGAGCAAAGGCCATGTAGCAAAGGCTGGACATTCTCACAGGAGACATGAGTAGCAGAGAAATGAAATACACGGTGGTCAGTGACTTGAAGAGCAAGTGAGAGAGGGGTAGAAACTAACTTTGGAGGAGAATGTTGTTCTACACAGGGCACCAAGAGAAAGGCTGAGCAGGGACCAGGATGACAGCAGGTGCACTACATGGGAGGGCAGGTGTCTGGCAGAGGGTGAGGTGAAAGTAGTGTGTGTAAGTGAGTGTGCCATGTTCAAGGGCCAGCAGAAGCGTGGCTGGAGCAGATCGAGGAAAGAAAAATAGTGGGAAATAAGAGTGGAGAGAGAGGCAGGGAGGGGCATGGAGATCTTGCGAGCCACGGGGGACTCAGTTTTGTTCAAAGTGTGAAGGAAAGCCAAGAGAGGGTTTCTGCTTCCAGGGAAGCGTCCTTCAGAAAGACCACTGTGACTGCTGAGTAGGAAACTGGAGGGGAAGAGCGAGTATAGAAGTTCTGCGTTAGGTAGTGTCAGGAGATACTCATAGGTTTTCTGAAAAGATCCCCAAGAGATTTTATGTATGTCCAGTATTGAGAAACACTGGTTTAAATTTAGGAGAATAAATAAATAAATAAAATAAATTTAAGAGAAAAGAACTTGATTGAAAGGATAGTGTTACTTCTTCAAAAAGAAAAACATACTAAACACATCTTAAGTATGTCTATCCGTACCACTAATGTGCAGTTTTCAGGATATCTTGCTTGCATTGTTTCAAAACCATGTGAGTGGAGTTTGTTATGGTTGGTTTGGACTGGTTTTAAATTTTGTGTCTGTTTTCTCTCTCACATCCCCTCTTCTCAGTCTCTAATCCTTCTGTTCTTCCTATAAAGGAGCTGGGAAAATCATGGGAAGAAGTTCAGTTGGAAGATGATCAGGAGTTGCTCGACCATCAGGAAGAGTAAGATTTGTTACTGCCTCTGATTATAACACTGCAGTAGTAGAAAGAAAATTAGTTCGATTTAAAATCATTGGAAAGAGAAAGTAAAATCTCTTTGAGCCATACATCCTTTTCAAGCAAAAGTAACTTGAATTAAAAATAATTTTCACATAAAAATCATTAATGATATTGTTACTCCAATTAAATTAAAGCTATTAAATGTGCACACCAATAATACATAATTGAGAAAATACGTACTTTAAATGCTTTGCCTTCTCAGTGGTCCCCGAACAAAATGTTCTCATTGGAATAGAGAATATAACAAATGCATTTAGTTTTCTTATCTTTTTAGCTCACTGATGACCAACTTAAAACATTCACAGCTTCTTTGCTTAAAATCATAAGCTGAAGAAATATTATTTTCAACCTGAGAGGATTCCCTATTAATCATTTTTTTTTTATTCATAGCTCTTGAGTTGTATTCTTTTCTAGGATTTTGGATTTATAGTACTTTAGTAGTGAAGTAAAATCCAAATTGAACTTTGCATTTGCTAAATTTTCTTCTTGTGGAAAGATTCTCACAGGGAATCCTCTAGACCAGGATTAAAAACATTTCCCAATAGCAAATACTCGCAGTGACACAACAGTCCTACACAGTAATGGCAGTACCTGGATTGGATGGGCTACTGACTCACGCCTGGAGGAAAAGCCAAGGGGAAGTGTCATTTACTCATTTCTGATGGGGAAAGCTGTGGTGTGGATAGAGTTAGGTGAATCTTCAAAACCATGTGTCTCAGTTCCTTATCTCTCGTTACTGGGACAAAATACCTGACACCCAGAGTTAAGGAAAGAAAGATTTACTTAGCTCACAGTTTGTGGAGGTTTCATTCCATAATCAGCTGACTCCAAGGTCGAGTAGCACATGGCAGAGGAAAGCAGTTCATGGTGGCAACAAGAGCAAAAAGGGAGGAAGGGTGGGAACAGTGGCAGCAGCAAGCCTGCCTGCTTTCCTTAGGTGGCCTTCAGGCTGTCTGCCCCAGGGCAGGTGTAGCACTCTCAGCAGCACTTATACCCATAATCCCAGCATTGGATCCTAAATTAATTACAAATTCTAGAAGCCCACCTAGTGACTCCCTGAGACTTTCGGGGAACATCTAGACACAAACCATAACAGCATGGCAGTGGTGATATCTGAACATGCCAGGTGAAATGTGTCCCTGTTTGGATTTAAATGGGTAGTTCCTTGTCTCTACACCTCTTCCTGGAACTTTTTCTAGTTTGAGAATGACAAGAAGTTGGAAAAAAAATTATTTTAAGTAAATGCATGAAAATGGGGGGAAATGGTAAAGGGGGTCCTCTATGCTTGTTTTCACTGCTTACTGCCATATTTACCACTTTCCCTGTGTAAAGTGATTAGTATTTCCCCCTAAGATGTACCTTTGCCTCTTAACATACTAATCATCAAACAGAAACACTCCCAGCCCTGCACCTCACAGGCTGTGCACCGACCCGTTGAGGTTACTGAGGAAGTATCACATGTCTTGATTCACCTCCTTTCCAAGTTAAACCTAGTTGTCTCAGAAAAACACAGCACTGATTCAGTAATGAAATAGCGCAGAATGACAAACATGAGAAAATGGAGCAGCACCTGTTTGCTATTTATATTTATTTCACTGTGCTGCTTTGAATTTTAGAGGTTGTATCAGAAAGTCATAATACGATGTGACAGTCTACCAGAATGTCAGAATTGAGAGAAAGGAATACCGAGTCACTATGTGGTATACGCTCTTAGTGAAGAGGATCTCCATGTTTTTTGTTTTCTTTTTTAACCCAGTGACTGGTCTGATTGGGAAGAACACCCTGCCTCTGCTGTCTGTCTCTTTTGTGAAAAGCAAGCAGAAACAATTGAGAAACTGTATGTTCACATGGAGGTGAGATACTTCTGTTCGTTTTCAGTTTTATTCTGACAGAGGAATGCGGATATGCCTTGCACCCTCATTTGCTTATGCTTTCTGTTGTCATGCATGATCTCGTTCCAAAGAGTGTGTTAGGCAGAGCAGGGTAGAGCAGACAGGCCGTGTCCATGGAGGACAACCAAAAAGGAGAGCAGTCTATGCAGCATGATTGGCTGGAGAACTGGTAGTGGAGGACTACACAGCCACTGGTGCTGATCTGCCTTTGAGATGCTGGAAAGGTCATTCTAGCTCAGAAGTTCAGATCTGTGACCGCAAGTAATCTTACCCAGATGTGACGAGTCTGAGTCTTTTCCCGTGCTCCTGTACTGATGACTTAAAGAACAGGAAGTGAAAATGTCGCTGTTACAAAGACTGGGGAATGATGGAGAGGGTGGAAAGTGGGCAGTGTATAAGGTGTGTTTCTACAGCCTCTTTAAGTACCAGCATTTGGACAAGAGAAATTTAAGGGCATTCCCAGTCCACTTTACATGGTGCACTTTTATGTTACAGTGAAGCTTACAGCTAGCAGTTCTAAACCTTTATTCACCCTAGTGTACTTAAGAGATGCACATCCCTACATCTCTGATTTGAATCTATATGATAGTGGTGGGGAAGGCCAGCACCTAAAAATCAATGACAGTGTCACTGTTTAGGGACCAAAAGGTGAGTGTAGTAGAAAAGTATTTCTTGATCATTGTGATCTTCTCTCCCCTCCTTTCCTCAGCTCCCTCTCTTAGTGGTGGACTCTAAGAGAGGGCTCTTCCACCCATCTTCACTCCTCTTCAGAGACATTGTTCTTAGTTCAGTAAAATAGCAATGTGGAGAGTGTTGCAAAGGCCGTAGGCATTTGTTCTTACAAAAGTGGAGAATCTGTTTCTTTGCAACAGATTGCCACTAATGTGTGTGTACAGTTTTAGTGTTTTGTGTTTAAATTAAATTCATAATATCCTAATGTCTCTGAACTGAAAATGTTAGTACCTGAAGCTGAGTAGGAGTTACCCTTCAAGCGGTGTTTGACAGGTGTCTTCAGCCTCTCATCAGTCTCTTTCAGCGACCATACAAGACCATCACAAACTCCTGAGGATGCTGGACGGGGCAGTACTGCACTAAATGCCTTCACCGTGAAGCTCATGGTCTTTATCTTCTGTGAACTTTAAATTAAAACATCTGCATGGTGGTTGAAGGAAGGGAACAGACGAACATAAACCTCTGAATTGTGAAAATTGAAAGCAAGTGGTTTATGGAAAGATGGGAGTGAAGAGAAACTTGCAAGTTTAAGCAGTGTATTTGATGGCATGAAATGAAAACTAGAGTGTGTAAAATCAGCTGTCTACTGTGGAGCGGAGAACCTGTGAACATCCTTAAGTCAGGCTACACCTTCCCTGAATACCTTTATCGCACTGCACAGTTCAGACACAGTAAACCATAACTGTGAGCTACAAATAATGAAAATGTGTTAGGTGATTGGCATGACTTGTTTGGACTGTGTGCTAAAAAGCAGTTGAGTGTGGAAGGAAGTAGCTAGAAGACTTCAAAAACAAAAGATGATGAACTAGATGAGATTCTGAAGTACTCAAATTCCTATGAATAAGCTGTTTAGAACTTCAGCCTGAAAACTTAAATAATTCATATGCTTACAAATGTATTCATTCCTTTTTTTTTTTTTCTTTTAGGATGCACATGAATTTGATCTCCCCAAAATAAAATCAGAACTTGGTATGTTTGATTCGGAAGTTGTTTCCATGATGTGGCATTTTTTATCAGCTGTTCTGTAAATGACGCCTGTGTTCGATAGCTGTGATTAGAGAGGACACAGCCAGGATGTGTCTCTGTACAGATGGTCCTAACAGAACTCTGAAGCAATGACTCGTAACCATTGGAACTGATATATTCCAGTACTTTTTTTACACAGTCCTCTCTTCCACTTCTGTACATGCATTAATACTTTTAATAAAATACAAGGTAATGTTAGTGCCTGTCATAAAGTGGAGGAGGTTAACATAAGAATAGGTTCTTTCTTACGTCAGACTTGAGTTCATCTTTCAGCTTCAGCACTTACAGGCTATATGATAGGTGTCAGAAAAACACATAGGAAGTGAGTACATTTATAAAACAACTACTATGCTGCTAGCCAATGCACACTAGTGTTATTAATTATAGCTGTTGCCCAACTGAATCATTTTCGGCATCAGTACCATTGAAAAGTCGGGGACCTTGAGAGATGAAGTACTGATTTCCTAACAGTTCTAAGATAATAAATTTTTAAAAGTTTACTTCTCACAATTCAGGTTAGTCACTGCTTTCTTAGCCTCTTGAATATATTGTTTTTCTTTGCTGCTGTTACAGACATGTATGTATATATGTCATGTATGTAATTAACCAAGTATTCAGATTATGGTTCCTAGAACCAATAGCCTGATGTCCATTCCTGGCTCTCCCGCTTACTAGCTGCAAAAACTGTGAATAGTTTCCAAATAGCTAATGTGGATATGATAATGCTAGTCGTCTATTAGGGTTTTCAAATGTTATGTATATTAATATGTCTTTATCAGCTTTTCCATTGTTGGATAAAATGCCCACAACCTAAAGGAAAGTACAATTTGTCTCAGTTTTGAGGGGATTCAGTCCTCAATCAGCTGATTGTAAGGTGGAAGGCTGTGCGGGGGTAAAGATGCTTAGGTCGTGTCATCAAAGAACTAGAGCAAGAGAACAGTACTAGAGAGGAAGAGAGGAGGGACCAGATAATCGCCCAAGGTCACCCCTTTGTGACCCACGTAGGCCGCCCCACAATTATGCTCCACCAATTCCCTGGGAAGATCCCGAGCCAGTCAAGTCAACATAATCAAACTCAACCACCCACTCCTTGTCAACTTGATTGTGAAACACATCTTAAACCATATTTAATTGCCAGAGAAACACAAATGCCTCACATATGCTACACAAGTACTCTACCACTGAGCTATATCCCTAGGCTTTTTGGTTGGTATTGAGGACTAAACCCAAGGCCTATACACTTAGCTAGATTTTCAGACACTTTTTTAAAATTTTATTATTTTGAGACAGGGTCTCTAAGCTGCTCAATTGCCCAGTCTGGGCTCAAACTCTTTATCCTCCTGCCTCAACTGCAGGGATGCTAGGGTTACAGTTGTGCACACCATGCCAGGCTTCCAGCCCTTTTGGTTTTTATTTTAAGAAGGGCTCTTAGGTTGCTCCGGCTGGTCTCAAACTGATGGTCCTCTACCCTTAGTTTCCCTACTAGCTAGAGTTATAAGCAGATGCGGTTATAATTTCTTAAAGGTAATATTTATCTTAACCACTTGTCTAATGAATGTGTATACTGTCATTTGCAGGATTAAATTTCTATCAACAAGTAAAACTGGTCAATTTCATTCGAAGGCAAATTCACCAATGTAGATGTTATGGCTGTGGTATTAGGTTCAGTTCCAAAGCAGATTTAAGGATTCACATGGAAGAAAATAAACACACTTCATTACTTCCTGAAAGAAAGATATGGGACCAGCTGGAGTAAGTACTGCTGAACTAGATGTAAACTTCTATGCTATCTCCTTTTTTATCTCTATTCAAAAATCTCTTTAAAAGCAAAAGACTTTTAAAACCTTATTTTTAAAATAGTAACCTCTGACAAGTGTTTTAGTTACCTTTTTTGTTGCTGAGACACAATACCCAAAACCCCCAAGTTACAGGAGTAAGGTTTATTGTAGCTCACAGCTTGTAGAGGTTTCAGCACGTAGTCAGCTGGCAGCAGGGCAGGTTAGCATGGTGGAGGGGAATGGCAGAGGAGAAACAGTCATAGCAGGGCAGGCAGAAAATGATCAGTAAGCCTCCCTTTCCCTTCTATGTCGTCCGTGCTACAAGCCTGTCCAATACTCATCTGTTACGTCTTAGGGTAGGGGGCATCACTGGAAACTAAACCCAAAGCCTTGCATATGCCCAGTAAGTGTTCTACCGACCCTTTATTTACTTGTGTATTTAACTGAGCTGCCAAGGCTGACCTCAGAGTCTGCCTCACCCTCCCAAATAGCTGGGATTACAGGTATGCACGCAGTTGTTGCATCATTTTTAAGGTTTGCCAAATATCCCATTATATGGATATATCCTAATTTGTTAATATTTAGGGTTTTTTTACTTTTTTCTATTATAAATAGTAATGCAACCAATATCCATATGTATGTATCTTTTACACACTTAATGTAAATATTTAGACAGACTTTAAAATTACTAGTTGGGCCAGCCAGATAGCTCAGTGAACTAAAGCACCTGCTTAGGCAGGCTTAGGGACTGGGGTTCAGTCCCCAGTGTGCTGTGCCAGCCCTGGCCCCAGGGCACACTGACATGGCAACTGAGACTGGGCGTGGTGGCGCACACCTGTAACACCAGTGCTTGGGAGCTGAAAACAGAAAGATCACTACGTGTCTGATCTGTGTAGTGAGACACAGACCCTGTAGTAAATACATAGAAAAAATAAATAAAATTACTAAGTAAAGATTTGCATATTGCTAGAGTTTTTGCTATGCACTTTACATATTGGTACTTCAAAAACATGGAAGCAGTTGGTCGCCTTGTATGTACCTATCATGCAAGGTGTTTGTTGGCAGACTTCCATCTGTCCTTTGCCAGCCTCATTTGGGTTGGTTGTCTAGTCACTTTTATTTTCCTGCTGTGCTGTATGTGGAACTCAGGATCTTCACACAGAGCTATATCCCTGATCCTTCTTTATTATTTTGAATCAGGGTCTTACTAAGTCACTGAGCTCAAATTTATGATCCTTTTGCCTCAGCCTTCTAGCACGCTTGGATCACCAGTGTGCACCACCACACCTAACTTGACTTTTTTTTTTTTTTTTTATGGTACCAGAGATCAAGCTCAGGACCTTGTGCTTGCCAGGCAGGCACTTATTCCACTGAGCTATCTCCCTGGCCTCAGCTTCACATTCTTGATAACCTAAGCTGAAGGAACCCCTGAGAGGCTATGCAGTTCTAGCTATGCAGAGACTCCTCTGCTCTCAGAGAATATTAAATCAGGCCACCCATAACTCTAGCCAGAAACTCCAATTGTCCTTCAGAAACTCTCAGACTTGTGAGAGCCAAGATACCTGGGTACCTAAATTGTGTTCAACTTTTCCTAAATTGTTCTTTTAGAGAGAAGCGGTGAAGCAACTAGCAATGGTTAATGGGTTATGAAACAAAACACAAAGGGAAACCTACTTGTTTTCTTCAAGTATTAGAAGAATTTGTGTTTGAAAAATGACTGTTTGGCACTTGTTAATTTAGAGAACAGAGCTAGGACTTTTGAGCAGAAATGACAAGGATGCCATATTTAGCTTCTTATGAAGGAGATGTTATCTAACTAGAGCTCCCCAAAATTGGAGTAGGCAGCCTTTAAAGATAGTGAGTTTCTTATGTTGGAAGATACTAAGCAATGGCTGAATGGCCACCGGCAAGACTAGGTCCCGTGAGGCTGGTATCAAATAGTCAAGGTCACAGTGAAAATAACTCAGAGGTTGTCTCCAATATAACTTTCATATAACTCTCTAAAATTAGGTAAGAAAACCTAGCAAAACGATAATGATGTATCCATTCAGCTATTTATAAAAGTCCTGGACAGTTTGTTAGTTCATTGAGTGTGACTGTGCTTCATTTTCAGGTATTATTTCCCAACCTATGAAAATGATACTCTACTGTGCACACTCTCCGACAGTGAAAGTGACCTGACCCCTCAGGAACATAACGAACATGTTCCCATCATCAGCGAAGACACATCTAAACTGCATGCGTTGAAACAAAGCAGTGTTTTGAACCAGTTATTACTACAAGAGTCCTTGAAAAGCTAAAAGAAACTGAAGAAGTGACTTTTCCTGGTGTTCTGAGATAGACACACAAGAGCAGTTTAAATTTGTGTATCAGCAAAGGATTAGTTCTTAGTGAATCAAATTTGGGTAAAGAGCCACAAAAGGAAAAGAAAATGGTCAAAGATCTGGATAATGCACAAACTGAATACTATTTTCATATAATCAAGAATCGACCACCAGGCATGGTGTAGAGGCCTGTAATCCCAGTACTCCGAAGGCTAAAGCAGGAAGATCACCAGAGTTCAAGACCAACCTGAGCTATACAGTGAGTTTGAGGCCAGCCTGAACTGTATACTTTTGAGACCCTGTTTCAAAAAATATTAATAATAATCAAAAATAAATAAGAGAAACTGGTTATATTTTCATTATTGCTTTCTCTGTAGAGTTGCCAGATGTTCTAGAAATGAAGGTATAGGTAATAAATTGCACTTTTTCCTGTAGTCTATATTTCACTAATAAATACCATTCCCATAAAATGTAACCACAATACACAGTGACACCTAACAAAATTAACTGGCTTGCTAGTATCATGTGATTTCAGTCTTTCCTAGTTGTCCCAAAAATATCTTTTTGCAGTTACCCACTATGGCACAAATATAGTTTGTGAAGATAGTTCTTCTCTTTCATAGATTTTAACCAAAAAAATAATAATAATAACCTGGGTATAATAGAAATACATCAGTCAAACCCAAGTTGAGGGACAGTCTACAAAATAATTTGCCTTTACTCTTCAAAAATGTTAAAGTCATAAAGCATAAAGACTGAATTCCAGATTAAAGAGGGCTAAACAAAGCACAGCAGATAGATTGGATGCTAGACCATGAGAAAAGTGTTTTCCTTCTACTAGAACAGGCATTAGTGGATGAGGCTTAGGTTCTGACTCCATCGTAGAGCATTTGCCTGGCAGTGCCACAGCTTTAGGTTTGACTGTCATCCTTGATGAAAAAGACAAAGTGGGAAAGCTGAGAAAACTTAACATCTGTAGTAAAAACTATGGGATCAGTATCTTACTGTGGTTGAATATCAGCATGTCCTTGTTTTAGGAAGCAGATGCTGAAGTGCATAGGCTGACAGAGCAGTGTTCACTGCTTACTCCAAAAACTAATCTGGCTACAGAGAGAGTGAAAAGAGTGTGGTGAGACTAATGAGTGAAGGGTGAGTGGGGATTCTTTGTAAGGTGACAGCTTTGCTATAAGTCACAAAGAAAAGGATTTTCAAGGTGAAAAGACTTGCAGAATGTCTTTGTATAGTTGGTTAATAAGGTGCCAGGAGAGAGCTGCAGATTGCATTTGGCTGTTTTGTTAAAGATCTCAATCTATAGCCATTCATGTGCCCTTGTATTTTAGACACCACATATTAAGGAAATGATCATGCTCCTGTTTTACTATTTTTTCCTGCAGAAACTGGTAGATTTAGAAGCTTCATTAAATTGGGGTTAATTTTTTTTTTTTTTTTTTTTTTCGCAGTCAGGTACAATGGTATATACCTGTGATCCCAGCACTCAGGAGGCTGAGGAAGATGCATCACAGGCTCAGGGTCAGCCTAGGCTACAGTGAGTTCACAGCCAGCCTGTACTATGTAGTAAACTGTCCTTAAAAAAAAAAAAAAAAATTGCAAGAATACTTCTGTGTGGTTCTTATTATGTTGTGTATCAGAGACATTAACATCTGCTACACCACCTTTGGAGTTACCAAAATTGTTCAGTACATTTGGGTGCAGAGACATGCACGTGTAGTCCAGATACTCAGAAGGTTGCAGCATGTGAATTGAGCCCAAGAGTTTGAAGCCAGCCTAGGCAGCATGGCAAGATCCCATCAGAGAAAGAAACAGAAATGCTCATTGCATCAGCTGTTGTCATTCTGCACCATCACTAAAAACTGATAATTATTGCCTAACCTGTTATTTTTTAAAGGATGAAAAATGATTTTTGTAATTCTTTCCTTACAGGTTTTCTTATGCAGCATATGTGCTACACAGCACTAAAATCTGAGGTTCTGATTTCCAGTTTTTAATGCCAGCCTATATAGTCAGTATGTTAGAACTAATCTTGGAATCACATGGCCTCTCCCCAGATTCAGAAGTCATTTTATCCCTCCAGGTGTTCCTAGATTGACCTGATTTGTAAATCATATCAGCTCTGACCATGGCTGTAGATTTTCAAGTCTCCAGCTCGGCAGACACCTGTGAAAAATGTTTCTTGAAAATCAACCAAAAAAATGAATGCCTTTATTACCATGAATGCCTAACTAAAAAAACAGGTTTAAAAGGCATTTAGTCCTGTAGTTAGAATAGCCTCGATCGTTCAGGTTTGTTCAGAAAATCAGGGAATATCTGGAGTATTTTATTTCATCGCCCCTTCCTTAGTCCAACGACAGGAACAATGGAAGAATGTAACAAAGTAAACCAAGACCAAGAAGCCCGAGAAAGGTGTTAGAGAGAAAGTCCATGCCTTCCAGAATGAGAAGGGAAGTGAAGATGAAGAACAGACGAGCCGAAGGGAAGAGCCAGTGTGCTTGGGCCTTGCTCTTGTAAGAGGTGGTTATTTTGAGTGAGTTGATGTTCAGGGCTTTCTTTTAGGACAGAAAAGGCAACTTGGACCAAATGTAATCTAATGCGTAAATTCTCAGCAGTTTACTCACTCTCCCAGAGAGATTAAGACTGTGGTCCTTACTGGAAAAGTTCTCCAGGACTCCTTGGTGAGAAGCACAATGTACTACATCTCCTAAGCTGGGACAGAGACGCCAAATGTTCTTTGACATTCTGGATCATCTGAGAGGGAATAATTCAAGAGAAACTAAGCTGCTCAAGGAATTATTCAGTGAGTTTCCAGATGTCGTTTAAATTATAGATAGCAGCAGCAGTGCTGCTTGTACCCCAAGAAACATGCATGAGAAATTTTTAGAAGACTCCAAATGAAGATAAGTAAAATATAAAAGACCATCAGGATGGGGCTAAATGAGATCAAAGCCTAGATTAGCTGTTAGGTCCAATCAAAATGCATTCCAGTTAGGATTGCCTAACTCAGAAAAGTGGAGGTGGCCATAAATTTTTTGAACAATGCTTGATTTTGTTCACAACAAAAGCTAGGGAGGGATATGTTTTGACGACGGAAGACAAGACCTAGAACAAAATGTTAGATAATACAGACACGAGCATGAAAGGAAAAGGTTTAAATAAATAAAATCCTACAAGTAGCATCAGGCTTGTAACTGTTAAGGAAAAAAGGGATCAACTTTGAAAGTAAGTTACCATGGAATAAGCAGCCATTCTTTCACAGAAGGAAGCCAAGCACTGGGATACATTCACTTTGCTGAACAAAGGAAAGGACATGTAGACCAACACTAGGAAGTGGCACACTGAGGAGGGTGTGGGAGAGGCTGCTCCTCTCACCATGCCCCAGTGTACAGTCAGGTCGTGTGCCACTAATGCCATTCATTCTCCAATAATAATAATAAGGTTAGGTGATGGATGGCTGCCTAGAATGAAGACTACATTTCCCAGCCCCTCTCATGGTTTAGTGATGGAGACCACATTGAGTTGGTGCTGAGCAGGCTTGAGAATTAATTGTTGGCTTTCTATTAACCCAAGAGTCTGTCCCAGACCTAAGTGACTTGCCTGAGGAACCAGCGACTGGCATGCAGAAACAGCACCATGCCAACGGTCATAGAGGCCAGCAACACCACAACTAAATCTCACAGAATTCGAGGGTGATAACTGCCAACCTTAGAGATAAAGCAGATGTGTCATTAAGCAAAGATTTACTACTTGGAATGTTCTTGTTCCGTCTTCACAAGGCTTGTGCACTGTTGTGCCTTTTGCCTCAACTGTTGGCTTAACTTTCCCTGCTACGTAATGCCCAGTACGTAACGGTCAGTTCAGAGAAGTCAGTCTCAGCCACAAGAGCTCTGACCTCGAACACCCATATACTATAGTGCTTTTGTCTGCTTTTATCCTTGGCCATACATTCATCCAGAGGATGGAAGACAGGCCAGCTCCCAATAGTTCAATATACTTAGGTGTCTGAAATATGGCAAATGTGTCAGCAAGAAGAGTTAGTACTGGACACAAGTACCCTGTGCCTTTCTCTTCATCCTAGCCCATCCCTTGCTTCCTAGGATGGATTTGTCCAAACTGGGGACAGTGAGATGAAAGCCAGACATAGGGGTGGGAGGCAATAAACCCTGAAGCCGGAAGACTGCGTTGGCCCTGGAATGCTCACCTAGACATTTGTGAGAAAGAAAACTTTACCTTCACACTGTTGTTATTCAGAACTTAACCTAATCCTACAGATTCACACTTCAGAAACAAAATGCTGTGAAAGTTTTCTAGCTTAGACAAAGAATGAAAAAGAAAATTACCCTTAAAAACAGACTTCCCAAGCTTAAGTGTCTATCCATTTTGTGCTGCTATACCAAAGTCTTGAGTAATTTATCATAAACTTATTTGGCTCATGTTCTGGAATCCACAATTGAGAAGCCACATCTGGCTCTTTGTTACTACATTATAACATGATGGAAAAGGCTTCACATGATGTGAAAAACAAGGCCAAATTCAACCTTGGATCAAGAACCCTCCCCCAAGACACCCACTTCCATAACCCCCTGCCCTAGCAAGAGCATGAATCCATTCAGGAGGATGTGGCCTCATTATTCAACTTGCTTGTGGATCGTTTTGAACACAAGAATTTGGGGAAAACTATTCAAGGTATAGCACTAAGTAATTTATAATAGGAGACAAACTTTCAGAAAGGAATTTAAGGAATTATTGAGTGAGATTCTAGATGTCGCTGCAATTATAGATAGCAATGGAAGTTTCACTTGTACCTGGAAAAAGCACTACACCCCTAAGAAATTTTTAGACTTAAGGCTCAAAATGACAGCAAGACAGATCAGAAGAGAATCAACAGGACAAGTGTACACCTTCAACTCTGGAACAGAGCTGCGACCTTAATCCCTGTTCTGCAACTTCTGTCTTAGTTGAGAAGTTGCTGAGTTCTCCTGCCCCTGGTCCCATAGACAGCTGTTATGGATTCCTGTGTCTCTGATCAGCTCACCTCAGTAATAAATGCCCACCCTTGGATAATGACAGTTCTGCTGGCTCTGTTCCCTGAGAGAACCCTGATGATGCTGATGTGCTAGTGAAGGTGGGAACAACAGTGCACTGGGAATGCTGTCCTGCAAAGGAGAGGGTTGACTTGGATCTTACAACTCAAGCACACTGAGCAAGGAGCAAAAATGAGCAGAATTGGAAAGGGCAAGCCTCCTTTCCCAATATCTTGTTTCCATGAGAAGGAGAAGTTACAGAACACTTTTGGTTTCTCCTAGAAAAGGTAGGTAAATTCTGTGATGGAAAACTGAGAAACCAGAAACTAGGCATCTGTGCCTCAGTTCCTTGTTCTTTTTGAACATACCCTTTTGTGCTCCATTCTGTAAACATCAGAGCTGCAGTCTGTGCAGGTGAAAGCAACTAGTTGCCTAATGTGATCTGCAACTGTCTGTGATCTGCTTAACTAATAAGTTCATTTGCCCACAGCTATGAGCTGTTTTCTCCAGTAGCACCTTCATTAACAGAAAAGGTAATAGTTCATCTCCCTCTGCGTGGCCATTTATCTGTTAACCCTCCTAGAAGGAATCCAGCCTACCAAAGAAGGAGTACGTAGTCAAGATTACTAGGAAATCATTGCTTGGGTAGTACCACTAAACATACTAAGTCCAGTCAGTCAAAAGGTAAAATAAATTTCACTCACTGTAACCACAAGATTAGGCAATGAAGGCAGAGACTTGATGGCCAGGATTTCACAAGCAAGCTAGCTGGATGCCTACAGAACAAGAGTCTTGCATTGAGTTCTACCTTGTAGCAAGAATTAGAGCATAGAACATTGATGTAGATAACCTGAGAAATCCCATTTCACTGAAGAAGTAAAAAAATAACACAAAATTATTACACTAATGAAGAGATTGCTGTTAGAGGATCTAAAGCTCAATCTCTCTGAGTTCCTCAGGGAAACCACAGAACACTTTTTGGAGCTGCCCACTTAACTCCCTCCCACGGCCAGAAAGCTAGGATATGTATTTATCCACCAACTTCGCTGGCTATTCTGGATATTAATTCTGCCACTTCTAGCCTGCCTTGCGCATTGGTCTAGCATCGCCTGGAATCTTTTTTTTTTTTTTTTTTTTATGAGCAGAATATATTTATTGAGAGAAAGAAAGCTCCTGTCCAAGAGAAGGGCAGGAGTGGGGACCCTAGCAGGTAGTTCCCCCAGGGAGGTTGTCTCTTGCAGGGACTTTTATAGTGTAAAACCATGAGGCTAAGGTAGAGGGAATGGGAACTCGCTTAGGTGGGCAGGAGGTGGGACAAGACTATGACATCGCCTGGAATCTTGAAAAGGCCCTCATAATACTGAGGAAGCTGTAATGCAAAAATGATACACATGGGGAGGGACGACCGCTACAACTCTAGATGTGTGGTCCAGAAGTTTGGTGACTCACATCTTTTTCATATATGACCTGAATTGACACTCAAAACACAATATTGTGAGGTATCTAGGCAGGATTATTTTATTCTCATCTGATTCAAAAGAGAATGAGAAAAGCAAAGGGATGGAAGTATCTCACAAATAATACATGGGGATTTAAAATGAGACAAAGCCAAGCCCTGAACTTTTTAAATGAATGGACTAAAAGCAATTTTTGAATGGATGAAGAACTTGAAATCAGATTAAAAATGAATTTTTTAATGTAAGTGCTTTGTTGAATCGATATGCAGAATTAGCACACTGAGGCTACTTCTACCAGTGCATCAAATTGCAGCTCTTTGCTTCGTCTGCAAAAATAGACACTTGATGTCCTGGAAGCTTGATATCAACTGTTTCAAGAGTTTTAGATGATGGATAACGAGAAGATTAGACCAGAGACAATAGTTGCACTCTTATGCCTATAATTGGTATTTCGAAAAGCTAAAACATGTTCAATTTCTGATCATGGCAGTTTGTTAGATTGAATGGTATAGCAAGCCTGTTAATTCAAATGGAAAACATTCCACAAAATAGTTTCACAGTGTTCTAAGACTGAACGGAGGCTGTTTCCTTTTGGCTTGTAAAATTAAACAAAAAAAAATTTTTAGAGGGCTGACCAAATAGCTCAGCAGATTAAAGCGCTTGCAAGCAGATACAGGGGCTGGGGGTTCAATCCCCAGGCCTGCTGCACCAGCCCCACCCCCAGCGTGCACTGAGACTGCAGTTGAGGCTGGGCGTGGTGGTGCGCACCTATAATCCCAGCACTTGGGAGGCTGTAAACAGGAAAATCACTATGACCCCTATCTAGTAGTGAGACCCTGAACACCCTATAGACCCTTCCCTAAAATACAAGAAAACAAAATTTTAAGGGTAGTCTCAACTAGGTGCTTCCTGAGTGAGCAGCAAACCAAAAACTATAGATTGTGATTTTGATGTTTTCTTTATTTGGAAAATACTAGAATAACAATAGTCTGTGATAAATTTTTTAAATATTTTTGTGATTTGAAGACGAGTGTTTTACTTTTTCCCTTGTTACTGAGACAAAATATCTGATACCCAAAATTAAGAAAAGGGGCTCAGGATATAACTCAGTAGAATAAGCAACTCCCTGGCAAGTACAGGGTCCTGAGTTCAATCCCTGGTACCACAAAAAAAGAGGGGGAAGAGGAAAATTGAGGAAGGAAAGGTTTACTTAGCTCACAGTTTGTAGGGGTTTTATCACATATCAGCTGGCTCCACATCAGGGTGGTGTGGCAGAGGAGCCACAGTTCATGGCGGCAGAAGATGCCAAAGGCAACAAATACAAAGGATAGAGGAAAACATCTTATATTGTACACAGGCTGCGCACCCTAGGGCAGGTATAACACTCACCCCCAGTCACAAGACTGGACAGGGAACAGATCACACACTCTAGATTCAGTGCCTCTACAACGACCGCATGTTTTGTTTTGTTTTGTTTTGTTTTGTTTTGTTTTGTTTTCCTCAGGGTGGACATCCAGAAACAAACAGTATGAGGAGAAAGGAAAAGACAACAATACTCATCTCTTACTTTCACCACAACCCATCCCACTACCTGTATCATTGCTACAAAGCAAATCTGAAGGTTGGCATTTGAGACCTCCTCATGGTCTGAGCAAAACAGTCTCCTGTAACTCAAATATATCACCAAGTCCCATCAATCTTGTCAACAAAATACTTCAGTCTCCACCACCTCACTGGCCTGAGCTACTGTATTAGTTTCCTAAAAGGCCTCCTTCTGATAGGCTCCAGCCCGAATATACACTGCAGAACTAGGGTGGTCATCTAACATAGCTGAAGCCCAAAAACAACAGCTTGTCTTCCCAATGGCCGCTTTTTCCTTCATCCCCGTCCCAGCCCTGAATACAACTTCCTTTTACCTTTCCCAGCCACACAAAGGAACCCCAACCAGAGGAGCCTGCCCCTCAAAGTTTGCCCTTAGCTAAAGTCCATAAAATCCCAGCTCCCCTTTGTCTCAGGTCAGGGGATCCCTACCATCTCCTTTGATCCTCTCTGTGTGCTCAGTAAAGGCCTTTCTCTTCTTTTGTCTCTGAGCCACACCAAAAACCTAACATGTTCTTCTCTGGCCCCTCCAATCTGTCCTCATAGGAGCCACAGTGATTTTTTATGAGTCCTTTCCATGCTATAATGACTTACTTGGTTATTTACCCAATATCCACTCTCCTTTTCCTTTCCTTACAATTTCCAAATTCTTTAAGGAAACACAGTGCCCCAGTGAAGTAATAACCATGCCATTTGTGCGATGCCACGAAGTGGGTGGCAATGCCTAGACCATACACATGTTGTCAGGCCCAAAGGCTTGTCCACCCTTGTGAAGGGGAGTCCACGCCTTCTTTCCTTTCATTCAACACAACCATGCCATCTGGAATTCACCTAAACCCTAGCTCCGAGCAGCAGGAGTCCTATTCAGTCACAAGTTTCCTTTCACTGCAGAGATTTATTTAAGGATAGATTGTTACTAAACCTCAGCTAAAAATGCACATCGAACCCTCCTCACTGGCTCGTCCAGACTGATCTGATCAAGAAGGAAGATGCGCTCTTAAAATTACATGGAAAAGCCAGAGAGGCCTTTCCTTAAGAGAAAAGGAACATGTATCTGACATGATAACAAAACTGTCTTGCAATATTGAGAGAAAATTGGCAAAGACTTTCAGAGAATTTCCATGAAAAAAGTCAGAATGCTCCCCCTAAAGGCAATCCTCTGGACCTTTTAGATACTCAGGCCAATAAATCCCGTGTATTGTTCAAACAAAACCTTTAAATGGAGTTGTTAATATTTGTCATAAAAAATTCCCTGTGAACACAATCTACTCTAAACTTCTTACACGACCACAGGTCTCCAACTTTGTTCTATACTTTCCTGCATGCCTGCTCTTCTCCAGGTGCCCAGCCTCTCTGTTTCTTAAATACAATACCATAAAACCTCCCTTCCCCCTGCCTCAGCATTTTTACACTTTTGACTGCATATATTTCTTTTCTTTTTTTTTTTTTTTTTTTGTTGTTGTTGTTGTTGTTGCTCGAATGCCTTCAGGGCACTTTTGGCCAGCGGGAGAGGTGTGAGGTTCGAACTCCAGCAACCTGAGGCTGACAGCTTTGTGGAAGCAGCCACTTAAAGGCCTGAGCTAGGGCCAGGCCCGCACTGACTGCATATATTTCTGTCCCTGATGTTTACCTTGGTGCCTCTTTATCTTTCAGGCTCAGCTGAAGTAGCTGCTTGTACTGGCCACTGTGTATTGTACTCATTTATTTGTGGCCCAAGCACTTTCAAAGTAAGAATAGAAGAAGGGGCAGCCAGGAGACCAACAGAAAATGCACTTGAGTGCCACAGCAAATACTGCATTTTCTCTCTTCCTACTCTTTCCATCTGGGAAAAATTGAATACTAGATAGGGCAGAGGGTAAACTGAGACTTTTATTCATCAATATCCCCAGAGGCTGCTGTCCTTGAAACTAAAGCAAGTGGGGTGAGAAACAGGTGCAGAGTGGCAGGTAACTAAAAGGTCAAGAGACCATATGAGGCAATAAAGATCTCGGACAGTGGCTCAGGTCATGGGACACACTGGTCAGCACAGAAGAGGAAAATGGGACTGGCAGGATGTGTTGCTGTACAATACGTAGCATCCAAGGTGTCTCCCTTTATGGCTTATATTTGGATACCCCAAGAGTCTATATGCTCCTAAGTGGGTTTTCTGGGTGATTGGATCTTGAAGAAACTATAGCTAGCTTGATGTTAGGAGGTGGAGCCTGGCTGGAAGGGGTGGGTCACTGGGGTGTGACCTGCAGAGGTGTGTCTCCCTCCCCAACTCCTGCCTTCTGTTTCTGCTTCCTGGCCACCATGACAGGAGCTGCTCTCCTCCGCCAGCCCTTCCTGCTGTGGAGCCAGCCAGCTGGGGGCTAGAAACACAAAGCAAAATAAATGTCTCCTCTTTTCAGTTGCTAGTGTCAGGTATTTCATTCCAGCAATAAATTTGAAAAGTGACTAAGACACTTAAAAAGAAGAACTCTTCAGCAAACAGAAAATACAAGTTAGGAGGAGTTTGGGAAAGGGATAATGGCTAGCTTCCAGCGATTTTAAAATGAATAGAAATGTCAAGACATGGGGCCAGAGAGATAGCTCAGCAGCATAAGTACCTGCCTGGCAAGCATAATGTCCTGAGTTCAATCCCTGGTACCAAAAAAAAAAAAAAGTTCAAGAAATGAATAGTGAGGCTAGCTGTACAACACTGGGAATGTAATTAACCCCAGTGAATCATACATTCTGAGATGGTCAAATGGCTAATTTTCCATGGTGTATGTTGTAACACAATAACATTTTTTTAATTAAAAAACTAGCTACCTGGTGACTATAAAGAAGTGGTGATGGGCCAAGCCAACCAAGGAAGCTGGCACCTCAGTCAAGTCAGGAGGGAATGATCACGTGAGGTAGAGCAGCGACAGGAAAGACTTGGAAGTGGAATGGCTGGACTTGCATGCATTTGTTTTTGGAAGTGCAAGGTCTAAGGCCCATCAGAAATCCTGCCCAGCTCCTTCCTTCAGGACTGAGGCACTCATTCCCTGAGTGGCCTGGATAGAAAGCCCCACAGCTGGGTACCTTTCTGTGCCCTTGCCCGAAAGGAGCTGGAAGGGATCGTGGAAAGTTTGGAAGAGATGGTCAACAGAAGAAAGAAGTGATGGGGGCTGGGGAATGCAAAAACAACTTGCTTGACCTCATCCTGAAGGGAGCCTAAGAATTTAGACGTGGAAAGACCAGAGAGGCAGGGGAACATGGTGTGAATAGAGGAAGCACAATGGGGGCGTCCTCCAGTTTGACCAGAGCTGTAGGGCTGCCTGGGGACATGGTGCTGTCCAGGCAGGGCCACACTGAGGGCAGCCTGTGGCACTGTGTGTGTGCTGTCTCACACAGGGCTTGGGTTCAGAGTATACTGTCTAATGGGAACCGAACCTTCTGTCCCCAGAGTGAAGGGGACTATTCACAACAGATTCTGTGAGTTTCACTAAGCTCGTTTAACACTTTAATCAATTTCCTACCTTGAAAATTTGCTTTAGATACATTTTCCTTTTGTTTTTTCAAATGCAATGCTCAAAACTTTGATGCTTGTATAAAATCTGCAGGTAGGATTGAATGCAACTGTCAAACTGTGTCCACTGTAACCTCTGCCATGGTGAGTGTTCTTTGGGGACCATTGCTTTTATCAAATCCACATGTATGGTATATATTTCTAGTTAAACTCTATCAAGACAATTTGAGCCTTGTTTGTAAATCTCTAACTATTTGTTCAGTATAAAATCTTAACTGTCATTATTTTTCCTTTTAGGAGATTATTAATTCGAATAATATTTCTTGTGACTAGGGAAAAAGAATTCACACAGAAATCCATTTATGAAGGTTCTGTAGTTAGGTCTGTGTCCTGTTCAGATGTGCCATGAAATGACAGGCCACAGGACAGCTGGGCAGCAGTGTGGTGACAGATAGAGATACACACAGATTTAGCACTTTTCCTACCGAAGTTATAAGGCAATGTTGAAATCTTTTTGTCTCTCCAAGTAGGTAAATTGTCCTCACTGGTCTCAGAACTGTAATTCTTGTGCTTCAGTCTGCCAGAGTGCTGGGAATGCAGGCATTCACCACCATGCCCATCTTGGACCAGTGTTCTTTTTTTTTTTTTAATGTATTTGGTACAGGGTCTACAGGGTCTCTTTACATAGATTGAACTCATAGTGATTCTTCTGTTTTTAGCCTTCTAAGCAGTGGGATTATAGGTGTGCGCCACCATGCCTAGTCTCAATCGCCATCTCAGCATGCCCCAGGGATGAGGCCAGCACGACATGCTGGGGATCAAACCCCAGCCATTGTGCTCTGCCTAAGCAGGCTCCTTAGTCCACTGAGCTATCTGGCCAGCCCTTGGACCAGTATTCTTAAGAGTGAAATGGTGTGCATATACCACGAGGAATCTTCTAAAATATGTATGCACAATTATAATATACATCCATTAGACTAACGGGACCTACATATTAAATTGTAATATAAAAAAGCAGATATAGAATTGTCTTTCAGTATCTGTGAGAGATTTATTCCAAGACCCCTTAAGCTTACCAAAATCCATGTAGGTGATTCTTGCCTATTACCTACACATATCCTCCCATATACTTTAAATCATCTCTAGATTATTCACAATAATACAGAGTTACAGTTATAGAAATAGTCATTACACTGAATAGTTTAGAGAATAATGACAAGCCAAGATGCCTGTGCATGTTCAGTATGAATGCAGGTTATTATTTCCAAATATTCTTCATCCTTGGTTGGTTGAGTCCAAGGATAGAGAACACACACATCTGGAGGGCCTCATGTAATTTGGAAAGAGAATGAGAAAACTTACTTTTAAGCATTTTACAGACAAAAGTGTGAAATCCAAAAAACTCAGACAACTCTGGATAGAAATTGTAACTCCACAAGAGAGCCTGTAGCCCTGCTTCTCAAACTTTGATGGCCTTTAAGCGTTTTCTCAAACAGATGTTCCGAGACTTCACATCTTGGTGTTTGGAGATAGGAGGTCAAGAGTAAGGTGAGAAATTTGCCTTTTTAACTAGTGCCTCAACTGATTTAGAGTCAAAATGCTCATAGACCAGACTTAATCCCTGCAGGCCTTTTGTTATGAGTACAGGCCCTTGAGTCAAAAGGGTTTGTTCACATCTTGGCTCTGATGCTCACTTTTACCAGCCATGGGACCTGAAGAAAGTTAACTGAAACTTCTCAAGATCTCAATTTTCTGTTTCACAGAATGGGATAATAAAAATGGTTAGTTCATATGCTTGTAAAACAGTGCATAGGAGAGATTCAATGAGTGTTGATTTTTACTATGCTTAATTTATTTTTAAGTCCTGTGGGAAATACCTGAAATATTCCCAGGGCAATGTAAGCTGTGGTCCCGTTGGCCATATTCTAAAGAGCCTTTGAGCAGGACCTCCCTTTTATCATACCCTTCTTTGTTCTGTTTCAAATTCTTTTCTTCTTCAAAGCTGCCCTTGATATTCTTTTAACTTGATTTTATCTAAGTAAAAACATTCGTGGGCATGAATGCACATCACCCTAATCTCTCTTCTTATGAATATGTTTGAAGATCACCTTAATAAAAAAAGTTCTAAGAAGTTGATTCAGTTCACAGGAACAGCTCCAAGTATTCTACAAGTGGCTCTGATATAGCCTGAAATGTACACCTGGCCCATGAATTTCAGACATCAGGTCTTCAGTTCCTAGCCTGTGATGCATGAGGGTTCGGAAGAACTGTTGGCAGCAGCCATATGAAGAAGGCACGAGCCTTATACATGGCCCTAGCGTGAAGCACATCAGT